AGAGACACACATTGTTCCTTCTTACACGCTTCTCAGTTTGGCTCCTGGACAAACCTTCCATCAACCTTAAAGTTCAGTTAAAAAATAAAGCCCCATTTTCTCATGGAGCCCGAGGCCACGTTTGTGAATGGAGGAACTTGAGGTTTTAGGAATTTTGTTTAGATCTGGGAGATACTTTCCACTTGCATGGCCCTTATCTGTGAGCACGGGTCTAGGCTGCCCCATGGAACCTACTTGCTTCCAACAGTTGTGTCACTGTTACCTGGAACATATCAGAGGAGTGGGACCAGATTTTAAGGTAATTCAAGTCTAGCCTTTCTAAAACCCTATTGTCACCATAACTCATCTCAGGGCCCCCCTCTGCAGCAAGATTTTATCCCTCGAGCCCCCAGGAGAAGGCTGGAGCTGAGGAGCAGGGCTTCTGCTGGCGAGGGTGGGTCCCAAAGGAAGGGGGGGAGAGGCGCCCTTTTCTCTTCGTTTCAGTTTCACCTTTTTCTCTCTCTCTTCCTCCTCCCTCTGGCCTGTTTTCTGTCTCTTTCTCCATTTTTTAGAAAATTTCTAGAGGCACGCAGTACAGTGGTGCCATCGAGCTCACCCATCGCAGAGGTGCAGTTCCATGAGCTTTGGCAAATTTATCCAGTTGTGTAAATATCACCACAAACTGGCTCAGTGACTCCTCCGTCACCCCCACAGTCCCTGGTGGTCTGTCCGCTCCTTTCCCAGATCCCAGCAACCACTGATCTGTGTTCTGTCCCCCCAAAAGTTTTGCCTTTTCTAAAAATTGCATATAAATGGAATCCTATACATAGTCTTTTGTCTGTCTTCTTGCACTTCACATAACAGTTTTGCACGTATCACAGTTTTTTCCCTCCATCTTTGATTATTTTTTGACCTTTGTCTCTCTTTGTTTCTCTCTTTGTCTGCCTGTCTGTCTGTGTGTCTGTCTCTCTCTCTCTCACACATACCCTTCTCACTTACCCTCTCTGGCCTTTTTTCACTCCAAGTCCTGATGTGGTATTTGGTCCCTAAGATGCAATTAGGAGAGATACGCAGAGTCTACACATTACACAGTCCTCAAGGGGTACCTACAGGGGCTGCCACCATCCAGCTTGGCCCAGCCCAGGGTGGCCCAGGATGTATCCTCCCCAGTGGTGGGGGGAGAGCAAGGAGACGTGGTAGTGAGATGGGGGCTGGGAAATGTGCTTCCTTCTCCCTTGAGCTTGAGACCCTCAGCCTTTGCCCAAGGAGAGTGAAATAAACACGGACGAGGCTGGGAGAATAAAGTCAGTTTACTGAACACATGGCTCAATTCCACTCGGGGTGGAGTGAGGCCTGACAGGCGCCCTCAGCAGTGGGACCTAAGCCACTGGGCGCACCAGGGCTCTGGGGTCCCCTTGGGCTTCCGGGCTGAGGGGCAGCAGCAGGGCAGCCTGCTGGGGGCTCAACAGCCCAGGCTGCCTGACCTGTGCTGTCTGGGCCTGGACTGGTCGCTGTTGCTGCCCGTAGATGCTCAAGCCAGACCCGCAAAAGAGAGTGGCACAAGGTGAAAATGGTAACTGTGAAAACACTGGTTTCAGTTTCAGTAAAGAGGAGGAGGGAGGGGGGCACATGGGGACACAGAACGGACGGCTGGGTGGAGAGGTCTCCGCCGAGCTCCACGGCCAGCTCCTTTGCTAGACGACCCGGCTCTGAGAAACGCTTTCACTTCCATCTCCCAGCTCAGAATCTGGAAAGCAAGAAGATGTCTCAGGCTGCAGAGTCACAGGCAGGGGCACGGCACCGCGGCTCCTCCTGCTCCCACTCGAGCCCCAGGGGCCAGCCACACGCTGGTGACAGTGCCTGGAACAGTGTGGGGAACAAAATCCCAAATTGCCCCACGAGGGTTCCAGCCAGACTGGGGCAGCTGGACCGCAAGCCCCCAACAAAAGCATCGTGGGCGTCTCCGCGTGGCCACGTTTTTGCTGGCGCAGCAGGGGCTCTAGGTTGAACAGCTGGAGGAGCCTTTTTTGCCTCTAAGGGTAATGCCCCACACAGACCCCACTTCCTAACGTGGCAGGGAAGGAGGAGTTGACCTAGGTTTCTAACGAGTCTTTCTGAGATCCATGGTTGGAGGCAGAGGGACAGGTGGGGAGCAAGGGGCAGTGGGGCCTGAGTAGAGGAGATGGAGTCAAGCCTTCTCCTTTATTCTTGGACGAAACTCTGGTTCTCAATACATTTCTTCTCCTCTTGAGCTGAGTATTTCCTGACTATCTAGAAAGTTCCTGACTGTTGAAGAAGGGCAGGGAATAGGAGCAACCAAACTGATGCCCCCCCACACACACACCTGGACTCTCTCAGCTCTACCTTTCGCCCCAAGAAAGCCCCAGCCCCACGGGCCACCCCAGTGCCCTCACCCATTCTGCACTTTCTCCAAAAGCTAGGAGACTGACCCTGTGTTTGGTGGAGGTGTCTGGCCCAACCTTTGGCCTGAGGGCCCTCATGCCCTGTTCCTGCTTGTCTTGTCATCTGTATGGATATCTGCAGGTGGTACTGTTCCCCTCCCCTGGCCTTGGTCTTGGCTATGGTGACAGTCATTTGTGCCAGCTGGGAAGCAGCTGTCACGGGGGCTGGGTCACAAAACTGTATGACAAATTATCAGACTTGGGCAAACACACCCAGGCAACTCTCCCCAGCTGCTCTTACCTCTGTGCCACTTATGGCATTTGTGTGGGGCTTTGGTTCCCAGGTGCATGTAAGCAGGCTGGCATGGGCACCACAAAGCCATCAAGAGGCTGGCACTGCTTTGTGCCACCTAGTGTGTCCTGATGTTTTGTCTTTTTTCCTCCCTGTTTACCTGAACCCAGCTAGGGCGGCAGGTCACAGCTGTGACTCAGCTCTGGCAACCTGCATTAACACAGTGCTGCCAAGCAGGTGAGTCATGCCAGGCTGCCGGGACCAAAGAAGAGTGTGGCCTTGGGGGAGGGGTGAAGGCATGTGGCTCTACCTCTGGCTGCCCTGGCCCTTGTCTTGACAACGGCTATAGCGTGGAGCCAGGCAAGGGCTGTGACTGGCCAGCATGCCGGGACGGTCCCTCTGTGCTGGGCTCTCTGCCTCGGCTGCGCCCACCAGTGTCTGTGGTGTGTGCAGAGCTGGGGGCAGGTAGAGAGGACCTGAACCTCCAGGAGAGAACTGGCTGCCCCTACTCTGGGGCAGGGGCCGGTGAATCCTAGGGCTCGGCCCCGCTCCTTGAAGGCTAGCAAGTGACTAGTAGGACCATCCGACTAGGAGACGGCAGCAGGTCCCTTCTCTCCCCTGCCCTCCGTGGAAACTCCCTTTTGAGCACCACCCAGGGACACTCTTCTGCCCTACAGAGACGTCAGTCTCCCCTGGGCCGGGGCCTCCCAGCCCGGGTTCCCCTTCCCCATCCCCGGCCCCGGCGGCAGCGGCCCGCTCGGGCACTAGGGGGCGCCCCTGCCCGGCGGAAGCGCCCGGGCGCGCCCGGCCCGCAGGTCTCCGGGAGCCGGGAAGAGCCGCGGGCGCCTCCGGGGCGGGGGCGGGAGGGGTGCAGCCGGGTCCTGCCCGGGTCCTGCGGGCCGGGGCCGGGCTCCCTGTCGCGCCCTTTCCGGAGCGCGAGGATGTCACCGAGGACGGGCTTAGGGCCCGCGGGGCGGCGGCTGCGCGGACCGACCCGGGAGGCGCTGGGGCGTTTTCCCCGGAGGTGGGTGTGCGCCCGCCACACAAAGGTCTTTTAGAGACCTGCCGCTCCCTTCCCGGCTGCGGAGGCGGGAGCGGCTGCTCGGCCCGCCCGGGCGACAAGGCCGGGCCCGGGGCGGCCGCCGGAGAGGGCGCGGGGCCCTCGGCGGGCTCGGCCGGACCCCCGCGGCGGCGCCGGGGCTGGGACCTCTGGGGCTCCTTTGTGAGCGGGAGGAAGGGCCCTTCCCCGGCCGCCGCCGACGGGCCTCGCGGCTTCGCAGGACTGCGTGCCCTGAATGGCAGATTGGCCTCTCTGGGGTCTTACCCGGGCCCCACCCTGCGGAGCTCGGAGCTGGCTCAGAATCTCTCGCGGGCGGGACTGCCGGGGCCCCAGAGCACCCGCGACCCGCGGCACCAGGCCCTGAGCGGGACAGGCAGAGTCAGGGCCCCGCCCCGCTGGCTGAAGCGGAGTCTGCAGGAGGGGCCCAGGAATCTGTATTTTTGCAAAGTTGCCTGGGTCATTCTGATGGCAAAGCCAACGTGGTGGAGCCATTGTTCTAAACCTTTCAGGACAGGCAACTTGTAAAATTTCTCCCCAGAAGAGCCTCTGGGGACCCAACTGTCACATCCCCCTCAATTCACTGCAGTGTTTATTCCCCCTACTGATAGAGAAGTTCTTCCTGCGTCTGACTTTGAGCCCTCCTGCTTTAATTAAGCACATTTTCTCCACTTGGGTTTTCTGTGGGAATAAAGGGCAGGAAGAAGACTTTTCTCGAAGCTGTTTGAAGACAGCTGTCTTGCCTCCTTTGGGGGTCCTTTCTCAGGAGACCTGTTTGCTTTGTTCAACCTCTGAACCCAGTAGACCGATTGGGCTGGACGGTGAGTAAGGCCACTAGTGTGTGAATGAATGTGATCCCTGCAGGCAGTGGCAAAACAGCCCCCTTTCAGGGTTTGGGAAAGAAAACCCCAGAAGATCCTGGCAGTAAAAGTCCCCAAAAGCTCCCCAAGTGATCCCAGTAAGGCAAAGGGAAAAACCTTATCTCACATCTGAGATACCCTCTTCTCCTTTGCTGGCTCTCTCCCTGGCTTTCAGGATGAATTAAAATTCTTATCTGCTCTGCATCCATTGTACTTGGACCCCTTCCTGAGGGCTGCAGCTAGAGTTTCCCAAGCTTTGTGGGGTTATTTTTGCCTCAGGGTGGTGGTCATTACTTCCTTCCATGGTATTAGGTTCAACAAAGTAACAAGAAGAGTAAGTCAGCAAACACCCTCCAAATGGCAGGGCTGACCCCCAAACCTACTTTCATTTTCTTCTGGTCTGGGTTGTGGGTAATTTCTTGACAACTGTGAGAAAGAAGACGAGATATGAGAAATGAATTGTTTTTCCAGTGCAATTGTGAACAGATGTATAATTTCTTGGTCTCAGGAATGTTCTAGGAGTCCTTCCTATCACCTGAGAGGGGAAGGGGAGCAGGCAGGGTGCCGAGGGCCACATGGGTGCCCAGCATCGCATGGCTTAGCTGGACCTAAAGAGCCGCAGCGATAACCCGGTCACCTCTGCTGTTTCAGGGCTTCTAAATTTGGCAGTGTGACCAGGCTCGCTTCCTTTCAGCCATTGATCTGAATAGCAGAATCCCGTTCTGATGGCCCGAATCACATTTACAGGCTGTGGGGGTGAAGGCCGTGCTAATTGGCCAGTTGCCTCACCGCTGGCTTTTAAACAATCGGTTGTATTCTCTGCCCGGCAGGAAGCGGCAGACCCATCAAGGCCCTGGGCTCTCTCTTTGTTCTGACTTTATGGCATTTTATGCCACAATAAGAAACACTGTGTACTCCGTGGGAGCCCATTGTGCCAGGCTGCGAGGATGTGGGCTCTGGTGCTCTTCCCCAGGAAGAAAAGGGGCTTTGTGACAGGCCGGGGGACAAAACAAGGGGTGCTGGGCACTGTTACTGGGGCAACTGCCTGGCCAGTGTGGAGGCAGTTTTGGTCCCTGGGTCCCTGTCTGTGCCCAAGGAGAGAGAGGGCAGGGGAAGGATGGAATTTCGTCTAGAGTAGCAGGTCCCGGTTACCGGTAAATTATTCATCAGGACTGTGCTAGCCACTGCCTCCGCTCTCTCTGGGGGCGGAGATGACCTCCACCTGCCCGTGCAGGTGACCATGTCCACCGAACCAACTCTCACACTCCGCCAGGGGACTCCATCTGGTGAGTAGGGGAGTTTTTCTAACTGTGGACCAACCCTGGGCTTCCCATATTTTGGGCAGATTTGGATCTTTAGGGGAAGGGTTTTGGGTTTTGTAGAAAGGATGTGAATGGGGAGGAGCCCTGGATATAGTCCATCCAGCCTCACGCATGTGACAGTGGGTGCCAGTGGGGTTTGAGAGCTTCCTCTACCCTGCCTGCCTCTCAGGCAGCCACTGTGCCGCCCGCTTCCTCCCACCCAGCCTCAAGTGTTCACCAGTAATAGCAGCCCTGGGACAGGAGACAAAGGACGGTGCTCACTCCAGGAGGCCACTGTACTAACTGGATAGGAACAGGACCTCAGGAGGAAGGCCAGGATCAGGACAGGGGGCTTTGGGGCAGCAGACCCTGAAAAATGGAGTGCCCCATGTGGGTGCTGAAAGGGAGGAGCGGAAGGAAGGCAAGTCCTTTTAGCTTCACCCCACAGGCTGGCCTGTGTCCCCATCAGATGGGGGGGGGCAGGTGAGGTTGGTGGCACCTGTATTCTCTGGATCGGCTGCCACCATGACCACCTGAAGCGAGAAAAGGCCAGCTACCTGCTGGGCACTTGCAGAGAATAGCACTCAGTGCTTCCCTGAGCCTGTCCCTTGCCCTGTGCCCACCCCTGTGTCTGTCCCATGTGTGACACTCCCACATGGGCCCCTTACTACCCTGAGCCATCGCAACAGCCCCCAACTGGTTTCTTCCACTTCCAGCCCACCGTCCATGTGTCTGCTTGGGTTTTCCCTCAAAAACACAAATCTCCTGGCCTGTGAGTCCAGGCTGGACACTGCTCTATGGCCTCCAGAGACACTCACACCCCTTCCTGCCCTCCCTGGCCACACAGCTCCTGGACTTTCCTCAAACACAAGGGTCTTCTGTCGCTGTGCCTTGGCGTTTCCCTCCCACCCTCCACCCCCTCCGTCTGCCCAGCCCTCCAAGATCCAGGCTAAACATCATCTCCTCATTTGATCAGTTGACAAGAGATAATGGGAGCAGCTTTGCCACCAGGCTCCCAAAGCAGTGGGCTGACTGATTGCAAAGGGGACAACCCGACTGGATTAAGAGCAAGGGCTCCACAGCATTGGTGTGTATCCCCGAAAAGCCTGGCTGGAGAAGGGGCCGCTCCTCGTTCCATCCAACTCTGCTCTGTGTTCCTCCATTTCTGCCCAGTCTTTCCTGTCCTAACACAGGCTCACATCTGGATGCTCTTGGTTACAGGCGTCTTCTCAGACTCCGAGTCCCTTGTAGGCAAGGAGTGTCTTAATCGTGTTTGTGTTCCCACAACCTAGTTTAGAACCCAGCATGTAATAGGCTCACAGAAAATCTTTGAATAAATAAATATACCTTGAACTTGGGAGTGTTCCTTTACCTAGAACGCTGTTCTCTACACGTGCTATCACTTTGTCCAGAGGTCCTCAAACTTTTTAAACATGGGGCCAGTTCACTGTCCCTCAGACTGTTGGAGGGCCGGACTATAGTTTAAAAACCACTATGAACAAATTCCTATGCACACTGCACATATCTTATTCAAACGGGCAAAAACACCCACATGTGGCCTGGGGCCGTAGTTTGAGGACACCTAGTCTAAAACATAACTCAAGACTCGCCTCCTGGGACAAGTAGGTTCTGATGCAGTAGTTCATCGTGCATCAAAGCTATTGAGCACCTGTGTTAGGTACCAGGCATTTTCTAGGAACTGGAGAACAGTTGGATACAAAAGAAATGAGGGTTTCATGCCAGAGTTGCCAGTAAACGCCCCCAACCCATGTAGACCATGTCCTTATTTGGCCGTTACTTGGCACACTTGTGATCACTCAGTGCTCCTGGTGTCCACAGTGCCCGGGACATGGCTGGCAGGCAGCCGGGACACGCCATGTGCCCAGCATCCGGAGGGACGTGTGGAAAGCCTGGCTTTGCCTTCACATAGCTCATGACCTCACTGGGGAGACAGACTGTCTGTTTATGGGATCACAAACAAAGTCAGGGAAGATCTTGTGCTGTCAGTTTCACAGCCGCTAGGAATTCACTGGGTCTCCCGCTTCTCTTGCCCAAGTGCTCCTTTCCAGTTATTTCCTGTTTTTATAAATGTGTATAAAACATCTCCCAGCTTCATCATAAGCTCCTCAAAGAAAGGGACATCACAGCATCACGTCTGGTAGCCACTTTCCCTGGCCCCTCTCAGCGCCTGGTACGGGGCAGTGTGTGAATGAGTGAGGAAATGACCACCACCATCCACGGGATTTGTCACCGGGTCTCTTAATGAGACACAACCAACGAGCACAACGTGAGTGAGCCCTCCACTTCCAGCAGGTAAGGGGGAGGGAAGGAGCGTTTCTCTCCCAACTTAGTGCCTCTCTTGTACTAAATATTACCCTAAGAGAGACACAAATCCAAAAGGGTGTGAATTTGACAAAAACCAGATGGATTCCTACTTTCCCTAGGGTGCCTCTTAACTAATTGTTTGTACTTGTTATTGCCCGGTAGTTTAAGGGGGTGAGATCTATTTCAGGGTTTCTCTAATTAAATGTGAGCTTGAGGTGAAAGAGTGTCCCCTGGTCCTTTCTTTTCATTCTGGTTTCCAGCTTGTTCCTGGTGCAACTTGTTCCTTGTACAGGACGGTTTTGCTGGAGGGTTCTTTAGAATCAATGCTGTAGAGCCTTGGTTCTCAACTACTGGGCTGCCTTGTTTGCTGTCTCTCATGTTTGCACTGCAGTCCTGGCGGCTAACCTTAGCCTGCGTTGGCTCTCGTTGGGGCCGTCTGTAACCTGATCAACCCTGGCTGCTCTGAAGTTCAATGTGCAATAAAAAGTTCATTAAAAAGATGTGGAATCGGGAGGAGGGGATGGGTATATACAACCACAATGAGCAAGATGTGCGACATTTGGGGGATGGCCATGCTTGAAGCTCTTACTCCAGGGGAGAGGGGGGCATGGGCAATATATGTAACCTTAACACATACACCCCTATAATATGCTAAAAAAAAAAAGATGTGGAATCACGAAAATGAGGTTACAGAAATGTTAACAAAGGATCATTTCCTGCTTCTTTTACTTTTCTCCTTTCCTTTCCTTCCCTTTCCCTTTCCTTTCCTTCTTTCTTCCTTTCTCTGAAGAATTGTCACCGTTAAAACCATTGGAGAGTTAAGGAAGCACAGGCCTGGGTCAAAAAGAGGAGGAGGAGACAGGAAAGTGGAGAGGGGGAGGGGTGCATAGGGTGGTGTGCCGAAGTGTCCCTAAAACTGCCTTGTAGCACCTTCAGTGGCCTGTCCACTGCCTCACTGACTTGCTTTCCAGTCTCGACCTTCTGACACGAGCAGAGTTCAAGACTCAAACCTCCAAGTGTCCTGGGAACCCAAACGCTGCAAACGTATCAGCCCCTGGCATGACCCTAAGCCAAGTGAGGGAGGTGTCCCCTCTTGTCCGGGCTGCAGAGAGGCGTCTGATGAAGAAGGAAGTCCCTTGGGGCTCAAGGTGCTGACTCAGCAATGACCAAGTGCGCTGGGACACATCAGAGGTCGGCCAGTCCAGCTCCCTCATCTGGGCTGACTTTGCTCAGGCCAGGCTCCAATTGGTGGCAGAGCTGGCTTCTCCTTCCACATCATGTGGCTTCCTGGAGGGCCCTGGTTCTCTTGTCAGAGCAAGGGCAGCTACAGATGATCGTTCCTGGTAAATACACTGTCACTTCTCTAATGACAAATGGTGCCACCATCAGCACCTTTACTTCTTGGTCTCCTTCAACAGGCACACACACTGGCACAACACACCCTGGGACCCAGAGCGAAATGGGAAGAGGGGCTCCTTCTATGGTTTGATTGGTTTTTTTTTTTTTTTGAGACAGAGTCTCGCTTTGTTGTCCAGGCTAGAGTGAGTGCCGTGGCATCAGCCTAGCTCACAGCAACCTCAAACTCCTGGGCTCAAGCAATCCTGCTGCCTCAGCCTCCCAAGTAGCTGGGACTACAGGCATGCGCCACTATGCCCGGCTAATTTTATATATATATATCAGTTGGCCAATTAATTTCTTTCTATTTATAGTAGAGACGGGGTCTCGCTCTTGCTCAGGCTGGTTTTGAACTCCTGACCTTGAGCAATCCGCCCGCCTCGGCCTCCCAAGAGCTAGGATTACAGGCGTGAGCCACAGCGCCCGGCCTGATTGGTTTTTAAACAGCTCACTTGTGGGAAGGTCCCTCTTTTTCACAGATGCATCCTGCCTGGCTAGGGGCACACCTACACACAACTCACACCCAGCCCGGGCATCCTTGCTGGCCTCTATTTTGGGGGGCAAGTATCCCTGGAGATTGACCGACTTACATGACCATTTAATTATTACTCATGTGTAATAGTAAGCAACTATGTGATTATCACTTACTTTTCAGCCAGAGGGTCACTGCGTATACACTTAGCAGCTGCTAAATCTTAGTCTTAACAGTGACAATCCCATATCCTACCAAGTGACCGTGGGGACCTCAACAGATTGCACATCTAGTAAACAACACTGCCAGATTTTTAGGGCTTCTGCCGGACAGCTCTGGGTCACAGCCAGACTTACCCTCTCGCGCACGACCCAGTTGTAGTTCAGTCTCGTGAGTTCTGCAAACCTCTGCTCATAGAGGTGAAGCAGCAGCACCAGGTACAAGCCTGAATTCATCAGCTCATTCTGTGCCTAAATATGGAAAAGAAAGCTCTTAAGTTCATCCATAAATTATTCATGATCCAAATTGTGGGGTGCAGGGAAACACGGCTAAGAGGTGACAAGAAATGGGGAAAGAGCCCCAGCCCCAGGGCCAGGCCTGCCCTTGGTCAGAGCTGGGGCAGGTCCGGCGTGGAGGTGGGGCAGTCATGCTCCTCCGATTCTTGGCTACCTACTGGAGGATGCTCTGAGAAAGATCCAGTTCCAAGCTCAATCCCATTCCACAGACATTTATGGAGAAGTTACACGTGCAAAGCCTTGAGCTGGGTGTCATGGGGAACAGAGGCTGAAAAACCTTAGAACTCCCTGCTGGGTCCCCATGTCCTGGTGCGGGGAGACAGCCTCGTTCACAGACAGCCGCAGTACAAGCCGGATGTGTCGGGTGCAACAACCGAGACGCACAGGGGAAGAAAGGGATTGGCTGGCTGGGACGTGTGGACGTGTGGGTGTGTTGGGTAGGCTTCTTGGAGGAGGTGGTCTCGGGTGGTCCTTAAAGGATGGGAGGCTCTGAGGGGTGGAAGGGCCTTTCAGACAGAGGCACTCAAGGCCAGCAGAGAGGCAGGGGCAGAGCGGGTGGATCGTGCGGTGGGTGACACCCCTCCTCGCTGGCTGAGCTAGAGGGTAAGGGAAGGGTTTTTGAGTTAAAAAAAAAATCTGGGTGTGGACCAGGGAGGTGGTGAAGTGGAGACAACGTTAGGCAGGACTGAGGAGTTTGGGTGTCGTGCTGTGTGTGTGGAACTCCTGGTGTCTTGAGCAGACAGTAAACAGGATGAGATCTGTGCCTTGAGAGTTTTCTGGGGGAGAGTCTGGGACGCCCATGCCACGAGGCTGCTGTACTCTCCCAGATCCCTCCTTTGCCCAGAGAAAGGGGCCAGACCTTAGTTCTGTGTGTTTCTTCCTTTACAACTGGGCTTATCGATGGCCTCACCTAAGAGCCCCTCTACCCCCAGCTGGTCCATTGTCATTTAACACCCGGAGAGCACCTGCCCAGGCAGGGGCTTGGATTGCACTGGGGACCTCAGGGCTGGCCTTTGCCAGTGCCCTTCTTTGTTTGCTCTGTTGTTTTCATGCACCTGTTTTGAATGCTCCTGGCCTGCCCTTTTACAGGCCTTGTCCATAACTTCCTCTCAGCTGTCACAGATGTCACCTTGCAGAATCTGATGAACCCTCATTTGTCCGAATCATTCCTTTGCTCCCTGACTCCTAAGCATTCGTTACTTTTTTTTTTTTTTTTTTGAGACAGAGTCTCTCTCCATTGCCCAGGCTAGTGTGCAGTGGCGTCATCACAGCTCTCTGCAACCTCAAACTCCTGGACTCAAGCAATCCTCCTGGCTCAGCCTCCCGAGTAGCTGGGACTACAGGCATGCACCACCATGCCCAGGTAATTTTTTCTATCTTTGGTAGACAGCAGGTCTTAGGCTGGTCTCCAATACCTGAGCTCAAGTGGCCCTCCTGCCTCGGCCTCCCAAAGTGCTGGGATTACAGGCATGAACCACCGCGCCCAGCATTTGTCTTTATTGTGTATACCATCTCTTGTACCTGTTGATGTTTCTGCTTTTTTAAGCGGTGGATTGTGTTTTGTTTCTCTCACTGGTGCTCAGAGCAGGTGCTACGCAGGGATAGTCTGGCTGTCCGGCTGGCTGTGGTGCCTGTCTCAGCTCCGGTGCCCGTGTTGCCAGGCCCCACTCTTGGGACCCTTCATAGACCTTCCATAAATCAGTGGCATTTGCAATGACTCCTCCCCCTCTGCAGGGGAAGGCGGGAGGCTCCCATCTGTCTTCATGCCAAATACCCATGGTGGGGGATGGAGGGGTTGGGGATCGGCCAGGCAGTGCTCAGAAAGCCGCCCAGCCCTGGGGGACTAAAATCCTAGCAGAGGGCACACACTTTACGTCACCCCTGGGAAAGGTTGGAGCTGTGAGTCTGTTTGCCCAGGAGAACGAGGGGTGAAGGGTAACATGACTGCTGGACTTGACCCAGTGACCACTTCAGCGTCTCATCTTCCTTCTTCCTGCGGCAGCCCAGGCGCCTCACTGGCCCATCTCCCTGTTCCGTTAGAGCCAGGGCAGCTCAGGAAGTTGGCACAGAACACACCTCTTCCAGGACCAAATAGCTGCCAGAAAAGGTGCGGAAGTTGAGCAAGGATCAATGTGCTCTTCCCTCTGAATCAGGGCCAACTCCCGATCTTGGTGACAGCTGGCCCCAAGGTCACTGCTGAAGGCTTCTCCACCGTCCTACAGACCCACCTTTGAGGGCTCAAGTCCGCTGTCCTTAGCGGTGATTTAGCCTCCTATTTTTAGCCTTTGGTCGTGTTTTCTGTGCTCTCCTGACCTTGGCCTAGAGCAAGAGAGCAAGTTGCTTGTTTTCACTTTTTCTCTTTTAACTGCCTCCTCCCACCTCCTGTAAGGACAGTCTTGCCAGCCACCTCCTCTGAGAAGGCTTCCTAACATGCCTTCTAGCGCCTCCACCACCCAAGCCTGGCCCTTGTTTGCTTCCTGGGCCACGGCTTCCTCCTGCGAGCTGCCGCCAACAGCCTCCTGGCCAGCAGCCTTGATGCTCAGAGACACTCTGACGCGCAATGGCAAATCCATCAGCTAGAAAATGGCTTGGAACTATCAGGTTTGTCAGAGCATTCAGGGAAATCATTTACTTTTTATGACTCAATAAGGCCCAGAGGCATGCAGATGGGAAAATATCCACTAATGTTTTCTGCAGATAATTCGAAAAGTCACTTCTAGCAGATTGTGTCTCTTCTCTGGTCTGTGGGAGGGAACCTGTCACACGGCGCCATAAATCTTGCCGGTTCTGTCCTCCTTTATGTACGCCCTGCTTGGGCCAGCAGTCAGAGCAGGCATTTGACAGCCAACTCAGAGCCATCTTTTATACTCCCGAGCCACAAGTCGGGGGATTTGTTAAGTGCAAAAGTTCGAAGGTGTTTGCTTGGCAAGGCCGCGTGAGCCGGGTTTGGAGTGTTATTCATCGGAGCTGCTCGGACCCACTCCTCCCTCGGCCCAATTGCATGACACTCTGACCCCCACACGGAGCTGCCTTTGTGCACCAGACTGAAGGGGACAGGGGTGGTACGAGGGGTGGGGGCAGTAAAGAAGAATAAGGCCAGCCCCTTCATTCCACGTTTTCCTCTATTTTCTCCATTTTGTTAATATTCAGTTCATTTCGGCCAAAAGATTTGTTGTTGATGGAAATTCTCAATAAAATCCACTTGAAGAAGCTGGCAGCCTGTCCAAAAGTTTTATCAAGTCTTCAACTATATTCAGGAGATGCTCCCAGGTCTGAGGGTGATTAGGTGACTGTGTGTATCCGAGGACATCTGTCCTTGGCTGAGATGGAGCGAGGCCAGGCCTATGCTTCAGAGCAATGACAGCCAGAGCCCCTCCTGAGTGGCAGAGCAGCAATGGCAGGAGCATGTCCTGTGCTCAGTGGGCCTGGGCCGTGAGCACACCTTACCCGGAAGGGGGGCGTCTGGGGCCACTGAACACTGCGACTTTGGGCAAAGAGTTTTAACTGTGCAGGGTCAAAGTGACTTCATTTATAATCTGGGAGAAGTAACCTCTGTTCTGTCTGTTTCCCCAAAGTGTTACGGTAAAATGAGCTAATATGTGGTATTTGAGAAAACACAAACATCCTATGAGAGGCAAGAATTAAGGACAGGCTAGATGAATTGGGCGTGAGGTCCAGGAGGGCAAGGCCTCTGTCTGTCTGGCTTGTTCCTGCACTCCTGGGGCTGAGCCCAGTGCTGGTGTATGTGTTTAATAAAGACATATATAGATGAAACAATGAGAAAAAAAGTATAATTTTGGATCAGGCAGTGTGGCCCATTCAGCTATGAATGTTGACTCTAGTGGCTCCAACTTTAACATGCATCAGAAATACTAGCGGGCCTTGCTGGGCGCTGCTGCTCTCTTCTTCCCCGAGTTTCTGATTCAGTGGGTCTGCGGGGAGGGCCACGAGTGCACACTTCTGACAAGTTCCCAGGTGATGCTAATGCTACTGGCCTGAGGACCACCCATCTTTGCGAATCACTGTTGTAAACCAAGGGGCAGCCGGGGAGCTGAATCTGGCCTGTAGATGTGCTCTGGT